AACATGGAAAATGTAAGGTTTATCATTCTGAGAGAGGACCGAAGAATAATTTGCTCTCGTGCCATCTTCTTTGACATTGCCCACTTATCAAATTCTTAAAAAATTTCTTTCAACTTACTTTTTTATTTCCTGAAATGAAATATATTTGGTAGAATAAATTTATTATCAAATTACAAATAATGATCAATATATTTTAAGGTGGTTTGAAAATCTGTAGGGAAATTAGTATAGGCCTTCTTACACCTTGAAGGAAATTTGGAGACTCATTTTGACAATAAATTTTAAATTACAAATAAAAAAGCAAATATTTTAATATTTTAAAAATAAAATATAGCTTTTTTATTACATTTATTGAAACATTTCCTTAATCCGAGCAAATCACGTGCGTATCATTTATCCATTTTTCAGTAACACGTTTCTGAAGATATTCTACATCATATATACATTGTAGAGAGAGTTTGACTGGTATGATTCCTTGATTCTTGTGAATATACACACATATTCATATATATATTTTTTATGGAAAATTACAACCTTCGTCCCTAACCTTTTGTTGCCATTATCTCCAATCTTTATTCTTTTAGCCTATAGATCACTAACTTTTAGCCATCAATTATTTATGTAGGACTCGTACCTTTGTGAGTTTGCTCTCCTTTTGTCTCATGCCATATTAAATGCAGACTTTGATGCATTCATCGTGAAAAAGGTCAAGTAAACCAAACCAAACAAGCTATTGACCCAAAAAAGAAAAAAAATATATATATATATTTTATTTGCAAGTAATATTCTTAAGCATAGTCAAACACATATTGAATATATAGTATATAGTTCACTAAACACGCCCCTATAAGTTTTAATTAGAAAATAATGTTTAAAGTTTTTCTTTAGTACTTAGCCCTTGTTTGAGCCTCATTCTTTTGATAAAAATGAATTTTTGAATAATGTATTGATGGAAAATGTAGCGTTAAAAAATAAGAAAAAGTTTTGAATTTGCATGTAATATTATTTTATTGAAGAATGTGTGATTGAAATGATATCAAAACAGAGCTTAAGAATGAATTTGAATCAAACAGGGGATTAAAAATGATCACTTATTTCTTTTTATCTTTTTTTTTTCCTTGGTGTCTCAAATTTTTAATTTTGTAACTTGATATTAGTTGAAACTAAAATCAAACTAGAAAAAGGCCCCTCATGGGGTGGCCGAGTTGGCAAAGTAGGTGAGTGTGGAGGCCTTTGGTCACGAGTTCGATTCTCCCTATCAACACTTTCTCGGTCGAGCCTATCGTACCGAGCTTGCTTAGTGAGGTTTATCTGATTGGCGTGGTTTGCAACCTATTTGGTCAGTTCGAGGGTTTATCCAGTGCGCATCCAAATGGTAGCGACTGCGAGTTCTCCCGACATTAAAAAAAAGAAAAAAATCAATCTAGAAAGATATCAGTCGTGCACTTAAGATACCATTACTCCAACATATAGAGAAAGATCTAAATTGCTTTTTACCTCTTGTGGTTGTAAAAAAAGAAAATGCAAATTAATATCTTTTTCACATTTTTCCCTCGAAAAATATAATTTTGATTTTCTTTTCGGTCTTCGTTGGAAATATTTTCAACCACTTTGAAAATCTAAATTACGATTTAAATTTATTTTATATCACAATTAGAAAAGTTCTTAGGCCCATGCTTAAGACTGGCTATATTTAATTATTCATAATGAAATAAAACATGAGGTAGAATTTCAAGACACTATTTTTTACTCCGCACGAGGTCGGGTTGGTGCCTTGCTTTTGAAAATAGAGGTGGGCCTAGCGTCTGTTTGGACCACCTCTTTTGTACGTTTGTATAAAATATTCAACCGTCTGTGCTTTTAATTTCTGATGATAACCACATCTTACTTGTACAAAAAAGTATACTGTGCAAACAAATTTCCACATTTGCCCTTTCCGCAGTCCAAAAAAATATTCCCACTTGTTAAGCCCCATTTGCTTCTTATTTTTTAAATAAAAAAAAATCAATTTCTTGATTGTTATTTAATATGATCAATGGTCATTTTTTATTTCTTTATTGATAGATAGGATTAACTTTTTTCTCTAAAAATAAAAAATTTAATTCTAAGAATTAGTACCAAACATGACCCGTCTCAAGAAACCAATGTTTGGTAGAAATTTCCTTCCATTAAAACCAGTGGTGCAGCCTTTGACATTTCAAACACAAAAATGATGTTTGTACAGCATATTTTTTTACAACAATTATCACATTTCCCCAGAAAAATGGGGTCCACAATTATTTTAATCGTGGACCCCACCCACTTGCATATGTGTATACTGTAAAAAATGATGTATTTGTAAAATATTTGTTCCAAACAAATGCATGGAACCATAAATGGACAAAAAACAAACGGCCCTGCTTACAGCTCGGTGTACAGCCCCCTCACATGGGAGCAGGGCCTGCGCATTAAATTGACGTGGGCCCCTCCTCTCATGTGAGGAGAGTGTACACTGAACTGTAAGATTCGATATATAAGGGGCATTATTCCAAAAAAAAATGAGGATAAAAGGACAAAAATGTAAATTGTTATAAATTGTATTAGGGAAGTGAAATGAGTCACGTTTAGGCGGTCCCACGTTGATTTGATGTGAAAATGCATTATGGGAACGGGACAAAAATTGAGGATCAGACGGACCCAGTGGACGGCGTTACATTTTAAGGCTCTGCCAATTGCAAGTTGCAACCATGAATAATGTTTTTTTTTTTTTTTTTTAAATACTCTTTTAATATTACAGTAGCAGGATCTTTAATTTAATATTTGTCAATTAATTTTATAAATGAAACATTAAAGGGTGGTTCAGCTATCAGATATTGAACTTACTCCTCAATGGTCATCAGGTCCAGTCCCCTCAAAACCACAAAGATAAGTATTTCACTGTAAAATTTAGGATCTCGTGAGATTAGTGATCCGAACACTCACGGTCATAAATAATAATAATAATAATAATAATAATAATAATAATAAAATATTAATGATATACTTCATGCTGGGTAACGTGAGTGAACTCATCAAACTGATACCCATTTTCATGTAAAAATGTATTTTAAAATAGTAAATTGATGAAAAATGTATGGTTGAAAAATAAGAAAAAGTTTTTGATTGACGTATAATATTATTTTAATAGAGAATGTATGATTGAAAGAAAGAGAGAGAAAAATACATTTTGAAAAAAAATGAATACCAAACAGGGCTCACCACGTTTTTACTCCTATATTATTTATTGAATTTTCTCTTGCACAGTTCACAACTTGAATTGGATAGCATACATTACATTATTGCCGAGAAAATGTATTCTACTATCACATCAAATGGCCCACCACGTTTTTACTCCTATATTGAAATGTGATCAGGTATTGTTCCAAACGAAAGCTATACATTTTTTATTTTTCCAAGTTAAAAAAAAAAGGTTGAACTTCAACTTTAAGGGCCCTCACCGACCTTGTCTTGGGCCATCGTGGAGGAGGTAAATCGCAGGATGTGTCTTTCAGGAGCCAGGGTAGAGAGCACATGGATAGGCCAAGGCTGTTAACCCATATGGTAACTCCCGTTTGCAACAAAATCAATTCCACCTTGCGAGGAATCGAACTCTGCACACTGCCGCGCTGAGCCCTATCCGCCCTCCCTTTTACCACTGGGAGATATGCCTGGGGGCATTTTTTCTATACATTTTTTATTTTTCCAAGTTCACTTCGACAAATTGTTGCCAAAATAGTTCATTTTTTTGGGAGAAAGCAATGCATCAGACGGGTGCTAAGTATTTTAATACTTATTTTCAGTATACAATAGTAGTTAGGTTTACTATTCCGAATTGTTGACTTGCTTGTGTGTTTTCTATGATTGACAAAACATTCGAGAAAAAGTGTTTTATTATTTCATTTACCATCTTCGTCTGAAGTACAAAATTTGAAAATTTCATTTTATTCAAAATATATATTTTCTCTCTTATTTTTTACCGTACATACTATAATAAAATAATATTACACGTAAACTAAATTATTATTTTTTAACTACACATTCTTTAAAAAAAAATTCCAAAATATATTTTCCCAAACATGCATTATAGGGGCTAGATTTTACAAAACTCAAACAAGCAATTTATTCAATTTATAGTTCAATAAAGCTATTGTAATCAAAGATTGTTGTTATCCAACGAGCCACTATCCAATGGAAATAATTTAGAAACGGTTTAATTTATAAATCAATATAATGAGTAATGGATAAATGTGTAGTACTTATGAATTCATAGTAACATGATTTATATGTGAAGTATAGATTTTCAAAAAGAAGTTGAATATGAAAATATCAACGAACACGTAAAGGCTTGTCAGATGGTTGAAAAGATTGACGTTTCAAAATGAAATATCAAATAAATGAATAAATAGAAAATAACAACAAAAGTCCGTAAAAAATAAAAAATAATGTTACTTGTACACAAATAGTTACATAATGATTTACATACAGATGAAGTGCAAAAAAAGAGATGAGAATTTTTTCTCCTTTTTAATTGAAAAAATTTGACCCAATCATATTTCATCACATCTGTACATGTCAACCAAAAAATAAATATACGTAGTGATACATTTTTAAATTCGAATCTCGTAAGATCTGATAATCACGTGATAGGTCGATCATAAGTGACATGATGATTTATAAAATGAGGTGTCAAAAAGAGATGAGAATTTATAAGATGAGGTGTCAAATAGTTACATAATGAATTACATACAGGTGACGTGTCAAAAAGAGATGAGAATTTTTTTCCTTTTTTTGTTAAAAAAATTTTGACCTAATCATATTTCGTCACATCTTGTGCATGTCTGCCAAAAAATAAATATACTGAAAAAATAATATACTTGGTGATACGTCTTTCTTTATCTTTATCTTTATATTTTAAATACGAATCTTGTGAGATCTGATAATCACGTGATTGGTCGATCTATGCACCATATTACTGGTAGGCAGCCAGACAATCTCTCCACGTTTTTCATCAACTACGCCAATAATTTCTTAAGTTCGTGTCCCTGAAAGTTATATAATCCACAGTCCTCAATCATAGTTAGTGTAAACAGAGAGTAAAAACATTTATCCTCAGTTTTATTTATGGAGGTGATAATGATTAATAAGATAGGGTTTCATGCCCTTCTTCTTCTTCTTCTTCTTCTTCTGCTACTCCTCAATAACGGAGCATCACAGTCCATTGTCAAGTCTCTTCCGGGTTATTCAGGCAATCTGCCGTTCAAGCTCGAAACTGGGTCAGCTTTTGTACTCCATTTTTCCTCTTCGATTATCAAGAATAATGTAAATTCAAGAAACTGATTTCTTTGTAAATATTTGTTTGAATGAGTGATTAGATACATCGGCGTGGGAGAAAATGATGAAGTGCAGCTATTCTACTATTTCGCCGAGTCTCAAAACGATCCCAGTACAGATCCTCTTTTTATTTGGTACACCGGTGGACCTGGTTGCACCGGATTATCCAGCCTCATTTACGAAATCGGTAATATCTCCTTCTCTCCCTCGAGTAAATGAATTTACTTGAAATCTTTAAGATGAACTCAACCAAAGTGAGTAAAGTTTAATAGAAGCAAGAAAAAAAATTAATTTATGAAAATATATTTCAAAGTAAAAAGTTACTTTTACTTGAGTTAAAGGTTAGGTAAACATAATATTTGGTTAAGCTTAAAAGGTGTTTATGAGTAATTTTAGCTCCCATTTGGCCTTCATTACGTGACCATTTTAATTTTTGAAATAGTATTTTTTGAAAAATGTGTAGTTGAAAAAGATAAAAATTTTCGATCGACGTGTAATATTATTTTGTGAAAGATTGTGTGATTAAAGAGAGGAGAGAGAAAATTAAATTTTTGGGATAATGGAGGCGAAATATGGGCTTTGAGAGTCATCAAGAATTTTTATTTTTATTTTATTATTATTATTTTTTTCTCCTTATCTTATATTGAAGACGATGGTAATGTGGTCCAAAAGATGCCACATGAGAATGTCTGGCTCAAATGGTAAGCATTATAAAGTCAATTATCAGAATTCGAGTATTGTTTGGGAAGGGTGAAATTCACAAAAAAATAAAATAAATAAATAAATAAAAGGTCGAGAGTAGTTGACGTAATTGAAAGGGGAAGCTTCTTGGTGTTAAATTAAGATCCTTTGATCAGATTTTAGGTGAAACTTTGTCATACGAAAATTGTGTGGTTAGGTAACATAGTGAAAGGGAAAGGTGTGAAATCCCACTGAGTACCCTTTGGGTAATTTTGTTTGTATGATTTGGGTCAAAAGTTAAAATAATTAGATGCGTTTTATAAGAGGCATTCTTAGATGGTATATTTTTGGAATTATTTTAGTGGTACTTAATGTGGTGTACCTAAAAGTGTATACCCCAAGGTGTTTATTCGGGTGGATCCCACACCCCATGTGAGAGAGATGTACACGTTTAGGTATACCGCTATATACTATTAGCACTACTGATATTTTTGTTTTAATTATTGGCCCTCGATTTGACTTGGTCAATTCAATTTCCGATTTTTTTTTTTTTTTTTTTTTTTTGTTAAACGTTAATGAGACAATCATTTGTGGCATCCTCTCTTTAAAATTGAAGATAGCTAAATGTTAGCTAGGAGCCAACTTCCTTTAAGATTAAATCGTAACATCGAATTGAGTAACAAATCGAGAAGGGCATATAAAGACGGAATTGTTACCCATCAAACATTGTGATCTTGATGTTTGTTATGAGCTTCACATGCTAGTCATCATTTTATTTTATAGGATTAATGGATGTATGGTCACGATTGACAAAGTTAAGTACTTAGTCCCTCTTTGTCACGCATTCTTTTATATATATATATATATATATTTTTTACAGTACACATTCTTTATTAAAATAGTATTATACGTAAATAAACAATTTTTCCTTCTTTTTTAACCACACATTATTCATCAATCTACTATTTCATAGTATATTTTTCAAAATTAAAGGGCCACCACAAGCACACCATTATTGAGAATTGACTAAACAAATTACGACTTGACAAATGGTAGGAAAATTAGTTTTCTAGCGTACATGTGACATACAAGAGACGCATATTGAGAATTCGAAGGAGGAAAAGGCTCCTAATCGTTGCATATTGCACATTTCTGTCTTCACGTTATCCAAATGTCAGAATATATTCAATTTCTTTTCCATGGGTAGTTTGAAACTCATTAATGTTTTTGGAGCAATTTCAACCACAATATCAAATCATCATTTTTCACCATTTTGCACCAAACCAATACTTTTTCATCTATCACCAAATGACAATATCAAATTTTGCAACAAATTTGATTTAAAAAAAAAAAAGAAAAGAAGAATCCTTTTTTGCCCTTTCTCATCTATCACCAAATGATATCAAGGGCATTTGTGTCATTTTACATTATACATAAATTTTGATTCTTTATTATTATTATTATTATTATTATTATTATTATTATTATTATTATTATTATTATTATTTGTAAGACACTTTAATCATCAATAATAATAATCAAGAAATGAATTAAACTAAAAGAACTTGACATGCATTAATTAAACATTTGTGGGATGAATATATGAATTCTGATAATTAAATTACGACACTAAGTCGACTTCGTCGTATTATAATTTCGGGATTCGAAATATACTAAGTTATTTTTAATAATATGATTTAATATTTTCTTAGTTGTCGTATTTTTAATAATTGTACTATATTTTTAAAATTTATTAAATAATTTAATATTTTTGTAACGGAAACTTAATTATGTATGTAGTAATTTACGTAGTAGTAAATTAAATAAATAATTAATTTTTCAGCTCTATAAATTGTTACCAGTAAAAAAAAAATAAATGAAGAACATGATTAAGCACTATTTATTTGGTGCAACTTTTGGTGTAATAGGTTGACAATGATTTTTAGTTTGGTGCAAGATTTGGTACAAAACGATATAAATTTTGATACATAATTGAAGATAACACTAAAATCCATAGCAGTAGAAATCAATTTCAATTGTAATCGGTGGGCAAAACAATGGAATTATTACACTTAGAAAATCTCTTAAAATAATAACTGAAGTCCATTCTAAAATCATTCATTTTTTTAGATTCAACGACTTTGTGTCATTTACGTTTTTGATTGGTAAGTAGCATTCTATTAGAATACCATCAGTTATGCCTTTGCCACGTGTAGAGGCCACTCAATAATAGAAGCACTGTATCATTAATGTTTGGTTGAGATTAAAATAAAAAAATTTAGTAGATTGTGACAGAAATCTTTGAAATGTGTGGTTGAAAAGTTGCGAGACCCATGAAAAATTTGGTTAATTGATTGATTGATTTTGATTTAGATTAAAATCTAAACTAAACGTGGATTGCCGAAAACAAAGAATTTTGTTTTGCCTCTATTTCTATAAAAGTCAATTATCTATCTAATTTAATATTGGTTGGATTTGCATGAACTAGCGGATCGATCACTAAGTGGGGATGCTCCCTCCATGGGCTAGATTTGTTTAGCATGCTTCATAACATTAGGTGATATGGTTCAATCCTTTGCATTATTTGTAAATTCGGCGTACCACACTCTATAATCTCAAATAATACCAAATAATTTAAGCATGAAGTAGAAGTAAGGGCAAAGAATTGGGTATCTCCATGAACCCCTCAATTCCACCGTAGGCGAATGATCAAGAAAAATAGCAAACAAAACAATCAAGTATAGGCTAAAAGTAAAATCGACATATCTAAAGGGACATAGGTGGATGAACTGCTTCATGTTCTACATACACAATGAACTTCACACCACCAAAACAACTAATCGAGAAATATGAAGTAGATATAAAATAAAAATAAAAATAAATATTCCAATCATTCACTTTTACCCCTTATCTAATCGTGTCCTCAAGTTACTAGTTTTTGTAAGAAACATATATTTGACTTTCTATTCTTGGGCTTCTATATTCCCTGAAGACTGAAATTATTCTTTGTATCAATTAAGTCATCCAATTTTACCACATTATTCTCAAAACAAACACTTTCTCTGTCAGAAATTGATATATATAATCAACAAGATATATAGAGGTAGAAATAATATTATTATTTTGATAGTCCTTATTCCTTAATATAATCTATAGAGGTAACTGTTATTTTTCTTATACCCACTGATGTGCTTATGTGCAGGTCCATTCACTTTTGATGTTGCAAATTTTAATGGAAGCTTCCCATCTATACTCCTAAATCCATATTCTTGGACCAAAGTAAATGTCATTTCTCATTCAATGCATGTTTCAAGTCAGATATGTATGTCTTAAATAACTCTCTACTTTTATAATATATTTAAATGATTTTCAGGTTGCCAGTATTATCTTTCTAGATTTGCCTGTTGGTACCGGATTTTCGTATGCAACAACTTCACGAGGTTACTCTTCCTCGGACACCAAATCAGCAAAAGATAGTTACACGTTTCTTAGGAAGGTAGGCCGACATTATTAATCATAGATGTTGTATTCCTAAGTAGAAATTGAAAGCTATAGAAATGAAGTTTTGTGTGGGATTTAGAAGCAGTCATTACACATTCACACATATACTCTTTCCCACCATTTTTTGGTTAGTAAACTAACAATAATGAGAATAATGCAGTGGTTATTGCGTCACCCCATGTTTATCAAAAATCCTTTATATATTGCGGGCGAATCCTATGGAGGCAAACTTATTCCCATGGTTGCCATGGAAGTATTACGAGGTAGTATATAAGAAGAAGAACAATGAAACTTACACGACTTTATTTGAAGTTTTCTTATTCACCAATCAAGCTTGATTAAGTTGTTAGTCTTGCTTGTAATGTAGGAAATGAAGCAGGATTGCAGCCACCAATGTCCCTCCAGGTATTATTTTCTCACACAAATATAAAAATTTCTCATAGTTGTTTGTCAATACTATAACACACTTCATGTTAATGATTGTGTACTTTGGAAATTAAAACAGGGATACATTTTTGGCAATGGAGAAACGGTTATAATCGATGATTATAATTCGCGAATTCCATATCTTCATCGCATGGCACTTATATCAGATGAATATTTTGAGGTATCATTTTTTATTCAATTATTTTCATATGATGAAATGAACTATTTTGCATCGTGTTCTCATGTAATTACTTGACTCAATTTCAGTCTGCAAAAACTAGCTGTGGTGAGAAATATTACGATCATGATCCAAATAATCTGCAATGTCTTCATGCCCTTCAACAGATCAATAAGGTATGGTTTTACATCCTATATTATTTTATCTTATTTTCATTTCTTTTTAACATTTTATTATGTGTAAACACTAAACAAGTTTCCCTTTATGATCAAATAATGCAGTGTATAGAGAATCTAAACCTAGTTCATATCTTGGAACCAAATTGTGAAAAATTTAAAGCAAGAAAGCCAGATAAACTTGGATGGGATCGATCATTTTCAGAAGACGATTCAATTGACCACATCCTACTCCCATCATCTAGACAAGATCAACCGTGGTGTCGCGTAACTTATTTAATCCTTTATTTATCTATATATTGGTACATTTCGTTTATACGTTATTTTCCTTGAAAATGAAAGTAAGTTGTGTTTATAGAAACACATTACTTTTTATAACTATGATTGGTAAAAAAAGGAAGCTTAAAGCAACTTTTACTTTTTTGTATCTTAGCCAACTACGCGAGTTTCTTCTATGCAGGAACATAATTATATTCCGTGTGGTGTTTGGGCAAATGATCCATCCGTCCAAGAAGCTCTTCATATTAGAACGGTACATTAAGTAGAAAAAAATTAAAGATTTATTACGAGTTACCATTTGTTATCGATCAAAAAAAAATAGTGTAGTAGATCAAAATATTTAGGAAAATATTGTGACTTGGTATCCAGGGAACGGTAACAGGCTGGAAAAGATGCAATCTCAACATATCATATGTACAGGATGTTGAAAATGTTCTTCCATATCATGAATTTTTCAGCAAGAGAGGATATGAAGTTCTAATATTTAGGTAAGTCATATTATTTTCTTCATTATATAGAAATTGTGACTTAATTTGTTCTATGTTTAGTCTTATCCAATAGAAATTTTCCATTAAGCAAAAAATATAACATATGTATGAAATATGTAAATTTGATATATATATTGTCTAATCAGACTTCTTTTCTTTCCAGCGGTGATCATGACATGGCTTGTCCATATGTGGGTACTTTAAAATGGATTCGCATGCTCAATTTGACCGTCAAAGAGAATTGGAGACCTTGGAATGTCGACGGCCAAGTCGCGGGGTTGGTTTTGAGTTCTTGATCATCTTGTGTATATATTGCATGGTGTAATTCTCAATATTCCAATACACTTTATCCCTTACAGATACACAGAGAAGTACAAGAAGAATGACTTCAATCTCACATTTGCAACAGTCAAGGCAAGACAAATTTGATTGTACTCTCTCACAACTCACAGTGATTTGAAGAAAAATCAGAAATAAAAATGGATTTTTTTTTTCTCCCTCAGGGTGCTGGACATACGTGTGCAGAGTACAAGCCTAAGGAATGTCTTGCGATGCTCCAACGGTGGATGTCTCGACGTCCTTTATAGGTATGGATAGAAGGGAAAGTTTTCGGAATTCATTTATTAAACCATTTTAGCATCGTAGTCTCAATAAAATCATGTGTTTTTAAGTTCAGCTAATGAAACCTTTTATTTTTAAGTACAAGTGTACAACTTGAATTCAATCGTATTGAGCTTTAGAGGACTACATTGATTTGTAAAGTTATGAATTTGTTGAATTTCGCCCAACTTCAATTTGCTTAGGTTGAGTGGCATGAATTGAATTATATTACAATTTTGCTTCCTGTCCAGGGTGGGGGATAGGGCAAAAAATAGGGCGTCCACGTGGTGCCCCCTTATTGGAGGGTCGGCTGTTGGGGACAGTCGACCCTCCAATAGGGGGCTGCCACGTGGGCGCCCTGTTTTCAACAGCCGACCCTCCAATAGGGGGCTATCACGTGGGCGTCCTGTTTTTGAGCCTGTCCCCCACCTTAGAAGTTTGGATTTTTCCATTATACTATCATTATGAGTCCTTCGATTGATTTAAGGTGTGCCAACGAACATGGCCCTACGAACAACCCATAGAGACACGGCTTGCTAAGGATGTTGTGACGCGGCCCTTGCATAATGCATGTCACAAATCACAAGTTAAACTTCATATTCTACATTATGTCTTCAAGATTTACTACCAAATTAAATAATTGAAACGTGTGAAAATAAGTGAAAACCAGAAATTAATGTTACATTGCACTGAAAATTTGGCCAAGTTTTTTCACACAAGTGGATAATATTGAAGCATATCTTAATTAAAAAAGAATTGTTCCATTTCTAATTACTGGGTTCTATGAAATAGTTTTGTATTCTTATATAAGAAATGACAAAAATTATATGGTAAAGATAGTAACTAAAA